ATTGTTAAGGTCTCCCCCTTGATCAGGCAGCATAGGAGAATCTGACAGATTTGAGAGTGGAGAAAATAGGTCACTGAAAGGGTTGATAAGAGTTTTCGTATTTCCTGGGAACACTCGCTCATCAAAAATGACGTGGCTTGATATGATGAACTTCTTAGTTGCAGGGTTCCAGCACTTCCATGCCTTTGTACCTGATGGATATCCAACAAATATGCATTTGGTGGTGCGTGGCTGAAGACCTTGTCGCTTGTTCTTTTTGACATGGACATAGGCTAAGCAGCCAAAGACACGCAAGTTAGAGACATCAGGTTTCTTCTTGTGCCAGCCAGTGTATGGTGTTGTTTTAGGAAGTGGTGCTGTAGGGCAACGGTTATGCACATATACGAATGCAAGCACTGCTAGTCCCCAGAAAGAGGGAGAAAGGTGAGCTTCATAGAGCATAGTAATAGCCCCTTCAGCAATATCGCGATTTGCACGTTCTGCAATTCCATTTTGATGAGGCTCATCGGGCTCAGTATGGCGTCTTGATATCCCTTCTTCTATGCATAACTGATCAAATTCACGACCCATATACTCTCCTCTTCCATCATCTTGCTCCTCTAAGATCTTCAGACCATGAAAGTTTTCAGCGTAGGCTTTGTAGCGTTTAAATTCAGCCAGAGCGTCGCTCTTGTGCTTTAGCAAGGCAACAGCCCAAAAACGCAGAGCACCACATATAAAAGTGATCCAGTAGTGATAACCTTCTGGTGTAGCGACTGGCATAGGTCCCTTAAGATCAGAAAATACAATTGCGAGAGGGCATGTTGGAAGGAGTGAGGGGCCTCGAGGAATATTATGTCGCCTGTGCTTGCCCATAAGGCAAGGTTCGCAAATTGGATCGGGATTAGATTGCATATTGTTCATCTTCATATTTAAGACAAGCTGATTCTCGTACATGTCCCGGATGATGTTTATGCTTCTGTGACAGGTTCGTCGATGCCATAGGGTCAGGTCAAGTGGACAGGTGCTTGCAGTACTTGAGGTTACCGGCCTTGTAGTGCGAGTGGTACCGTTAAGATATCTAATGTTGTTATCATTGACAGTAGCTGAGAAACGAAGTGCTTTGTCTTGAAAGAACTGGACTGATGACCCGGCTATGTTGATCTCATATCCTTTATGACGTGTGAGATGGAAGGGTGAAAGCAAGTTATTGCGAAGATCAGGTACATGCAGTACATCCTGGAACTCGACAGCCTCAGACCTCTCTATTCTTCTCTTTTGGCTCAAACACAACTGTCCCCATGCCCGCCGAATAGATGATTGAATTGTCAGCTAACCGAATCGGAACCACATGTGGTGTCCAGACATGAAACCAGTCTCGACGATGGCTCATGTGAGATGAAGCGCCTGTGTCCGTATTCCAGTTAGATGATGCTGGGGACAAGAGATCAATACTCGCTTGGCTGGCAGTCTCTTCTG